AGTAGGGATGAGAATATACATTTAAGGATCACTCCCCTAGGTGATGTGGGATGTCATAATCCACCCCCCTTAGGGGCCCGATGTCCTCGTCGGCACACACGCGGCCAGGGTTATGCTCTGATACCAATTGTCACATCCTGACCCGGGGCGGACCACTTCCTAGGCACGCTCCACCACCGTAGCACGATATTGTCCGCTTTGGGCCCCGACCACACCCTCACGGTTTTGTTTCTAGGAACTCACACGAGAACTTCCAGTGGGTCACCCATCATGGGAGTGCTCTCGCGCGCTACTCGCTTAACTTCGGAGTTCCAATGGAAACCGAAGCCAGTGAGCTCCCAAAATGTCTCGTGCTAAGTAGGGATGAGAATATACATTTAAGGATCACTCCCCTAGGTGATGTGGGATGTCATAATCCACCCCCCTTAGGGGCCCGATGTCCTCGTCGGCACACACGCGGCCAGGGTTATGCTCTGATACCAATTGTCACATCCTGACCCGGGGCGGACCACTTCCTAGGCACGCTCCACCACCGTAGCACGATATTGTCCGCTTTGGGCCCCGACCACGCCCTCACGGTTTTGTTTCTAGGAACTCACACGAGAACTTCCAGTGGGTCACCCATCATGGGAGTGCTCTCGCGCGCTACTCGCTTAACTTCGGAGTTCCGATGGAAACCGAAGCCAGTGAGCTCCCAAAAGGCCTCGTGCTAAGTAGGGATGAGAATATACATTTAAGGATCACTCCCCTAGGCGATGTGGGATGTCACAATTTCATTTATCAACATTTCTAACCCTTCACTGTAAAACATGTATAATTTTTCCCAAAATTAGAATATAAGCATATACATAAATATATATGTAAATATATCAATTTAAACCATGCTTCACATAATCATATTCATATGTATGCCATGCCAAAATATAACAGAGTAAGTAATTCAGGTGAGAATAACTTCATAGAAATATAACATGTTAGCCGGAATCCCTGTGGTAGTCTGTACGGCTGAATTCATAGCTCAAAAGTCAATCTAGCCGGAGTCACTACAAGAGTCGGAACCAAATGAAAAGGTTTGTACGACAATACTGGGTGTAATATAATTATGCTCAATACTATTCTCACATAACAGCTGGGCGATAAATCGCTAGTCACCTATAAGTCAGAACCATAGTAAAGGTCTGTACGACAAGACTGTGCACCTAAATTGGATCCAATATGAGCATATGGTACGGGAGGTGACATTATAAATAGGCCTGTGCCATATCTCTGGCTAAATCACAATCACCCTAGGTGCAGTTTTATGAGCTCAACGTTATTCAATCACATATCACATCATCGATAATTCACATAACCAACCATAACTCACCTGAGCTTACCTGAGCGTCCACAGCACCACAATTTTATATAATGCATCATATACCAATTCATATACGAAACATAAATTCATATGCATGGCATTCAACGCATACTTTCATTTAAACACATTTTCTGGGAAAATATCAAGTATATAAGTATATACTGAAAACCAAAAGCCTACTCACTGGTATGTCGAAGGGTCGTAACCCCCGAGTCGCCCTTGAACGCGCTCGTCCTCGGGATAAGTCTCACCTATATGCGAATTAACTATAAAAACGTTATTTAAAGCACATAGACAAAACTAGCTAATAACTTCTCATACAATGCTCAAATGGGGTGTTTGAATATAAAAATGTGATCTACACAACCTCACGTACATCCCCATATTTTTAGAAATTTTTTTCGACCACCCACGTGCCGGCCAAGGCACGGCTAGACGCGCCACCCATTCGCTGGCACGTGCCTGGCACACCCACGACAACAGTGACGCCGTTAGGAATATTCCGTTAAATAGTAACGGAATCCATTAAAGTTAACTAACGCCGTTAGAATATTCCGTCAAAGTTGATGGAATATTCCGTCATCCTTAACCTTGAACCTCCGGCGACCATCGCCGACGCCAGAAACTGGGTAATTTTAAAACCTTGATATCTCACTCGATATTCAACCAAATTTCATGAATTTTATGTCAAAATGAAGCTTAGAACACTTAGAACAAACCCATACCAGTTTTAGGACCTAAATCCCACGAGATTCGTCGGAAAACTCCTCGATATTCCGGCTAAACCTGCAACTCGTCGTTCTCACTATTCTGACGTCCAAACTCTTCCAACGAACTACACCTAGCCTCGTGATGACCTCCTTAAGCTACCTATAAGCTCCAAATTCCTTAAAACCTTCAAAATTACGTGTGCATGAACAATGCACAAAGTCGGGGTTAGGGTTACTCGGGTTTTCGAAGCTTTCCATTCTAAAAAATGGTACCAATGAACTTAGAAACTTGCAAGGAACAAGAATCTTACCTCTTTGACGTCGATCCGTGAAGTTTGAAAGGCTTTGGGTGTCGTCTGTACGGTTGTACGGAAAATAGCTGAAAATTGAGAGGGAGAGGGAGAAGAGAGGGCACGGGAGTGATGTGTGGGTGTGAGTATGGTCCCAGTTTGGTTTCCAACCAAACAAAACAAACACTTTAAGTCCTAAGTGTTCCAAAAACTTAGGAAAATAATGGATAGGTCTAAAACTTAAACTTAAACCATACAACATATTTTAACGTCCATAGGTAAAACCGTCCTTTCACGTCCTCAAGAATAAAATAATATATATCTTCGGGACGGGCTGTGACAGAAGTTGCGTAGGAGTTTTTGAATAATAATTTTTTTTTGGCAAGGAGTTTTTCATTAATCTAAACTACATATTAATAAAACTCTATTTGTCAATCAAAAGTGAATGAAAAGACTATTTAGTCTTCTATCACAACGAAAAAGTTAAGGGTAGTAACGTAATTTTACAAAACAATTTTTTGATATTTTTGGTTTAAACATCATCTACATGTAATTTTAACATCTCAATTTTTGAAAAATAAAAAATAAAAAAGATAAAAAATAAACCTCTCTCCCCACTCCCACGTTCTCTCTCACTCTCTTCTTCTCTCCCTCAATTTTAAATATATAAAAAAAAAATTTAATACTAGTTTTTTATTAAAAAATTGCGTATAAGTTCATAGGACGTTTAAAAAATTATCTGGAAGCATTTAACAAATCAATGATGGAAGGCTCTTTTGATGTTGCTGCTCAAGAAATCAAATATTTTTTTAAGGTAGTATGAATTTATTAAGAAACCATCAAGGACAAATATAAAACATGCATGCCAAACATAATCAAGAGGCCATACAAGCCAAAAGAAACACCATACAAATTCACACTTACAAACTCATCATGAATATAATAGAATTCCTCAACCATCACGAAGACTCACATCTAACCAACAAAAAGATAACAATTTGTATGTAGAACCACCATAACAGCATCATGAGTAATATTCTGAACCAACCTCTCTTGCAATCTTTAGCAAAGAAGCACTACTAGAAGATGCTCTAAGAGCATTTCCACCCATGTTTTTATGTCATGGCTAGATCCCAAATCCAATCCAACCTTCATCTTCACCCATTTTGGCAAGTCATGGCTGATGTAGCATTAGCATCAGCCTTGTCGATTCTATCTTTGAGTCCAAATCCATGATAGTTACCATTCACAAGGGGTGAAAAGTAGCTTAATCATAACAGTCTTTTCCAAATTAATTTCAATCACTGAATGATTAGTGAATTGTAATTGTTATGAGAGTTACAATGTAAATGAATAGTAAATGCCACAACTTTACTCCAAAACTTAGATTCACCAAGAGAAATGTTAATTAGACCTTTTCAGTAGGATTCTCCATGGACTCTATGTAACCTTATGTTTTTGGTACAATATTTTATAATGTTGACACGAGAATTGACGTTAAAGTGTGAGATAACAGAGTCTATAAAATGTTCCACTTTAAAAGAGTTTCCTTAACATTTTTCATCCGCCAAATGGGTGGAAATGCTCTAAGAAATGAATATTTTTTGTTGGTGTCGTTGTTGTTGGTGTTGTTTTGGTACGACTTTGCCAATCAAGAACTTGCTCCATCCATCACCAACTGCTAGGCAGCATAGTACTTTTGTTGCCACTTGCAACCATAGACAATGAACAAGCCCAAGGTCAACTTCAACATCTGGGTAACTTACTCACAATATTTCTATTTTCCAAATTTCTTGAAGTTCTAAAAAGTATCACGGAGACAACTCATGAGCTATTAAAAGAATAATTAGCACCTTTAAAAAAGGATAATTAGCTAAGAGAATGATTTTAAATGGAATCACAAGGACTAAGAGGGCCAGCACAAACTGTGCACCCATAGAAAATCCCAAATAAAATTCTAAAAAAATGAGCCAACTACATTTGCAAATCAAAGGTACTATGCTCGACATTCATGAATAGAGAGTCAATATTAAATCGACAATTTTGTGCTTCAGACCAATCCTCTGCTTATACAATCTTATTTAATTAAAAATTAATAATAATACTTGCATCCCAACCCTTGTCGTTCCATATCTTTTCATTTAACGATTTTTCTTACACACATCTCATAATCCAAATCATTCTTTTTCTAAATCATCATTTCAATACTATTTAGGCAAAAATACAAATAAATCGGTAATTCTTAGTCATTCATATGTATCAAATAAATATACGATTTTGTTAATAATTAAAATCGTCACAGTGAACCGTCCATTTACTTTATATATCAATGACTAACGATTTTGAATTTGAGTGACTTAGTATAAAGATGTTCTTGAAATGAGGATTTAGGAGATAAACGGGCTCTAATTGATGTCGTATTGATAAAAATCGTTAAATGTAAAGGGTGGAACCATGAAGTTCCTTTAGGAGTGGAAGAAATTTTTATGTCTATCCAGAATACAAGCATCTACAGTATTATAACATAATTGAAAAATATGGTTAATATGTTCCACTGTAAATATAATTTCAAGTTTTATATAATGACAGTCTATTAAAAAATGGTCCAAAAAACAAATAGATATAGAGTTGGAAGGAAAGTGACATCATAACTACGCGCTGGAAAACATTCTCTGGTGAGAGGGCGAGAGAATGAGTCTGAAAATGCAAGCAAAGAAAGCCTTTGCTTTTTCTCTCTAGTCTTCATTTCACAGTACCTGTCACTTTACCTTTTGCCTTCCCAAACCTCTCTCTTTCTCTTCCCCAACTTTCTATTTGGTAGATAATCAACTTCTAATTAAGTAGTAATTTGCTGCTTTACTTGAGTTGTGACTGCCCCTCCACCATTTCTCTCTCTCCTTCTCTCTCTCTCTCTCTCTCTCTCTCTCTCTCTCTCTCTACTTTTTTTGGTAAGTCATCACACTCCCCTCTCTCCCTTTCATCATTTCAGTTCTCTTGTTGCTTTTACTTTGAGTTTTTTTTTGCTTATTATTATTGCTGAATGTTGTAGCTTTTTATTCTTTTATATATCTCTCTCTGGTTTTTTTGGGGAATTCAGTACCCCCAAGACTCAAAGACTCTGACTTTGAACAAAATTGCATTGAATTTGGTATTTTTTTCCATTTTTCTCTACTGGGTTTTTAGATTTTGGGTCAAGTTTTGCAATAGGAGCAGTAATTTCTGTTTTTATTGTATGTAATTGTGTTCCTGCAATTGATTTAAATTGGGTTTCTGGGTTTTTTTGAAGGTGTTAATTAGGTGGCTATGGAGATTGACGATGCCGAAACGAAGTCAAAGATGGAAGATTATGAAGTAATAGAGCAGATTGGGAGAGGGGCTTTTGGAGCCGCCTTTCTTGTTCTTCATAAGACTCAGAAAAAGAAGTAAGAGTATTTTCTACCAACCTTTACCTTTTGAAATGAAAGTTGTAATTAGTAATGTAATTCTTGTAATCTGTAAGATAATTGTGTAATTAGAGACATAATTTAGCAAGAAAATTGAATAGCTGGATAATAGGGGTTGTAATTGAAGACAGAATTCAGTAAGAAAACCCTACACGTTTACCAAAAGTCACATCTCCGGGGTATGAATTTTCGGAAGAAGGGATATTTGAGATTCCAATACTTTATATTTTGATTGTACAACTTTTGTCTAACTCAAATTTGCTTACACCAATCTTTCTCCAACTTTGTTTAATTATTGAATTTTCCTTTTAATAGGTATGTATTGAAAAAGATTCGTTTGACTAAGCAAGCGGAGAAGTTCAAACGCACAGCTCACCAAGAGGTTGCTTCTTGAAAACTTTTTAGATATTGATAAATTTAGAACCGAGTGCCAGCTACAAATGTTTTTCCTTTATTTGTTCTTTAAAAGTTGTTCCAATTTGTTGACTTGCTATATTTCCAGTTAAAGGATGAGGCTTTTCTTTTTTCCATACCATTTTTCCTTTTAGGAACCAAATGTAGCATCAAATATCATCTCTCCTGTTTTCTTGGCAGTCAACATAGGACATACAAGCGCCAACTTTCTTATTTGTTTGTCCATATCAGCACTGTCATTCCAGTTATCTCAGTGTTATGAAACTTACATGTGTTGGCTGCACTTCATCCTGTCAGAAATACCCAGATCTATTTTGTGACAATCTACTGGGAGATGCAGGCGTGAAACAATATTCATATGAAAGTAGAATACACGAGCATGCGTTCGCACAGACATTCAAAATGCATTCTTGATTATATTATGGACACATAATTATAATAGATCCTTGATTGTAGCCTTCTAGTTTTGTAATCCCCAGTTACTATGATTCTAAATATCATCTTAGATTGTCGATAACACTTGTTTTATTCTCAATGTCTACCTCATATTTTGTCACCTGTGAACCATATTAGTTTTGTTCTGATATTTTTTCTTGTGATTTCATATTAATTTTCTCTGAAAGATGTGTTTCCTACTCAATTAATCGCAATCTCTATTATTCTGCTGCAGATGAATTTAATTGCAAAGTTGAATCATCCATATATTGTGGATTATAAAGATGCTTGGGTGGACAAGGTGAATCCATGATTCTTAAGTTTCATATATTTGAATAGGACTCAAGAGTATATGTTCGGATAAGTCTTTAGCACTTGTAGCAAAACTTGACTTCACACGCGCATGCTTAAAAGTTTATATTTTCTGCAGGGAGACTGCATATGTATTGTAACGGGCTATTGTGAAGGAGGTGACATGTAAGTAGCAACAATTTACATCAACGATATTCTAATTATGTTTTGGCTGGTATGACATAATGCAGTTTTCTTTTTTCCAAAAATTAGGAATTAAAAGAGTTATATGTTAACATCTTTTTGCTTCTATAACGAGTTTAAATACTTAATTTTGTTCCTCAAGTTTCTTCTAAGTATAAGCTTGAACAACGCACATGATTTTTGGACAAAATATAGGAGGAAACCTAATATCGTAGTTACTTAGTCAACATATTGATCTATGTATATGTATTGATCAGTCCTGTTCTTCTAAGGTCCATAAATAGGGGCGATACGTGAAGTATTGTTTTGGAGTCCTTAGATCAGATATGGACAGCCGGGATTCACCTCACCCACCTTTATCTAAGGGCTGGTTTGGTATTGCTGTGCTTTGAAAAAAAGCTGTTGTGAGAATAAGCGGTTGTGCTGTGAGAATAAGAGGCTGTGAAATAAATCAGCAGAGTGTTTGGTAAACTTTTTTGTAAAAGTGCTTTTGGAAAAAAAAGCAGTCTGATAGTGGGTCTTTTCATTAAAGGAGCACTGTAGCTCCGTGTGCTTTGAAAAAAAGCCAGTTTTCCAAAGCTGCAAATAGCAGCTTCAACGTTTTCCTTTGATTTCAGCTTATTCTCACAGCAGCTTCCAAAATAAGCCTTTTTTTTTCAGTTTACCAAACACCTAAAACCCTCACAGCTTTTTTTCATGGGTGCTTTTTTTTTAAGCACCTCACTCCCAAACCACCCCTAAATCTAGTGGATGTTAATTAAGAACTCATTTAAGGACCTTAGGAGAGTATTTCTTTTATCCTACTTTTGTCAAAACCTTTTTAAATTACTAAGTAGAAAATCAATTGCAATGCTTCCAGTGATTACTGAATGATAAACTTCTTGTTAACAGGGCTGATATGGTAAAGAAGGCCAGAGGACAATTTTTTCCAGAGGAGGTAATCAATTAGATTTGATAAAACTTCACGTCCTGTATATGTACCTGTATAAACGGTAGCAAGCAACTGCTCTGTGTTGTTATTCTGTTTTGCCCTGCAGAAGCTCTGCAAATGGCTGACTCAGTTGTTGCTAGCTGTGGACTACTTGCACTCCAATCGTGTACTTCATAGGGATCTTAAGGTAATATACTAATATAATATAGTGTACCCATAGTTGCAGTGAAAAATAATAGTATAATAGCTATGATGGTTAATAACATAAAATCCAATGATTGCAGTGCTCAAATGTATTCCTTACAAAGGACAATGACATCCGACTTGGTATGTAGACATATTGATTGGGAAGAGAAGCACTGTTTCTCTGCATTCAGTTTGGTTTCCATATTTGATGTTTTTAAAGAAATGTATATGTTGCATGGACCTTATAGGTGACTTTGGGCTTGCAAAACTACTCAACACAGAAGATCTTACTTCTTCGGTATGGACTCGCATTTATATTATTTTATTGTCTTTATGCCTCTACCTACACAATTCTAGTCTGTCTCTGAGAACCCTGTGGCTGTAAACAAGCTGGAAGTTCCAAGTATTTCTTTTCATGAAAATTTCCATAGAGTAGTTTACAAGCCTCTCCTTCCCCACCAAGCGCTGGGTTATCCAATAAGGCTACCCAATCTTGGAGAGGATATTCCTCAGTATTTTTGGCCTCTGGTACTTGCAACTATATCACTAAATTTACTTATTTATATGCCAGTTCATTTTCAATCCCTGTATTTTCAACATAGGTTGTCGGAACTCCAAACTACATGTGTCCTGAGCTCCTTGCAGATATACCTTATGGCTATAAATCTGACATATGGTCGCTTGGTAAGAACTCTAGTCTCTTATAGTTATACTTTCCTGGCTCATGACCATGATTTTGAACCGTTATAACTGTAGTTTCTATTGCTTTTCAGGTTGCTGTATGTTTGAGATTGCCGCACATCAACCTGCATTTAGAGCGCCTGTAAGTATAAGCTTGAGCTGCTGATGCCTCATTGATTTTATGGGCTGCCATTCTGAATGACTTGATTATACAGGACATGGCTGGGCTTATCAACAAAATTAACAGATCCACCATTTCTCCTCTTCCAATTGTGTATTCTTCCACACTGTAAGTAATTATCTTTAAAACCATCGAAACCATGGTGCTATTTGAAATGCATATTTCAATTGCATATTTCTAATTAATATGATATGTATCGACTTATATGGTATTGGCCTTGGATCGTAGGAAACAAATCATCAAGAGCATGCTCAGGAAAAGTCCAGAACACAGACCAACAGTGAGTCTACTCCCACTTGCATGATATTTGAAGAAATTTATTTTTGGCTCTAATACCCACATGATCTATTACTTTAGGCTGCAGAGTTATTAAGGCATCCACACTTACAACCATACGTCCTTCAATGCCGCAATGCATCATCTGTTTTTCTTCCTGTATGTCCACAAACCAACTTAAAAGAAAAAACTCCAAGAAAATCACCACCTAGCAAGCGCAGCAGTGGCAAAGACAACAGAGATAGAGAGGCTGGAAAAATGAACCACGTGGAAAAGGTCCAACCATTTGGGAGCAATGCTGATCTGACGCATAGATATGTAACAAACATTGATAACCCTGTATTCACAGCTAGTGCAGAAGAGCTTGAAACCAAGAGAGTTGATCCTACTAGCTGTTCTTTGGAAGTATCCAATGCCACTGATGGTTCAAAAGATGGGCCGACTGATTCAGAAGCATCTGTTTGCGATAAGCAAGCTGACACTATCAGTATAGCACAAAAGGAAAATACTGAATCTGACATTGAGGTTACATCAGAGAGCGCATCAAATTCTCAGCATGAAGAACTAGAAGAACCAACTGCCTCAAATTTCAAACACTTGAAAGAGGTTGATTTCAAGACTCTGAACAGTGAGGACAGAAAGGCATATGAAAATCAACAAGTTCTTGAAGGAGCTAAAGCAGAAGGAGAGGGGGCTAATGAAGAAAATTGCAGGGTATTGGCGGTGCCCAGTGTAAGCGGTACTGAAAAAGTTGGGTGGATTGATGATACTGAAGTGGAACCCAGTTGTTGTTTAGAGAAGGAAAGGTCCAATGTGTATACTGAAGTTGGTAATGCGGAATACTTGTTATCTGAAAATAACAATGAAAGCTCCATACAGAAAGCAAAACATGAAGTGGTGGGAAAGGCAGACAATAACAATTGCTCTGCGCAGATAGAAAAAGGTGAGGCTCGTGTGATTAATCAAGCAGCAGGTGATGTAGCGGCAGTAGGCAGTGATGATTCCAAGAGTGACTGGGAAAATCCAAGTCAGCAAAGAGCTGATGCCCTTGAGTCTCTGCTTGAGCTATGCGCACGGCTACTAAAGCAGGACAAACTTGATGAGCTTGCCGGCGTGCTAAGACCATTTGGAGAAGACGCCGTCTCTTCTAGAGAAACAGCTATCTGGTTGACAAAGAGTCTCATGTCTGCACAGAAATCTAATGGAGAATCCTAAGTTTTAACGGTCAATTTGCTTGTAATTTATGCAAAACTGTTCCGGAAAATAAGAAAAAGAAAAAAGAGTATTTGTTTCATCGTATTGACATAAATTTGTTTGTCAACCAGAGTGTTATTTGCTGAAGATTTAGAGTGGGAAATAACATATTTGCAGATTGTTACTCAACATCGGCTCTACTGGAAAAATCGATGCGATTAACTTTTACTGTTGTCTAAATGTACTGCATGTTTTTTTCACTTGTACAGTTTCTCTTCAGGTTTTAACCTTAATGAGGTGAGAAGAAAGGTTTGAAGGATCCAGGCAAGGGAATGCAGGTAAGTAAATATTACATATATATATATAAATGGATTATTAACATTCAACAATCTTAATCACATACGTACAAAAACATCCTTAATCCCATTGGGATTTCCAAGTAAATATTCCGCTTTTTATAGTCTCATTGAGAATATTTTTTTTCTTCTCTGAGCTTACTGCAGGTAATAGCCAAAGAAGGTCACGAGGAAGGCACCGGCCAGAGAGCCGACAATGGGCATGGTGCTGGCGGCGCCTGATGGAGCAGGAGCAGGAGCATGAGCTGAGTCAGGGGAGGATGCTGTGCTTGTGGTGGTAGCAGCTGAGCCTACGGGGGCAGTAGCTGAGGCCTTAGGAGTAGCTGCAGCTGGTTCCTTAGGACCAGCGGCAGCTGGGTCCTTAGTAGCAGCGGCAGCTGGGTCCTTGGGAGTAGCGGGAACTGGGTCAGCAGCCAAGACGACGCTCAATAAGGCAGCAAGGACGATGATGGCGAGGGAGATCTTCTTCATTTCCATGATGAATATTGTGAAATTGAGGATATGTTGATAAAAAACACAGCTGCCTTAGAGATAGGATATGAAGGAAATTTCTTTATTACTTCTTTGATTACTGCAGTGCTGAGGAAAACAGAGGAAAGTTGTTTCAATTTATAGGGAGAATTTGAGTTATGTAATTAGAATGAAACAATTTTTGGTGGTTGAACGTGTTTTTTGCATGGTATAAGGAAGGAAATCACTGAGCGATGTTTTTGCGTACCCGTGGCCACAAACAAATGCACATTTCTAGTTTGATTTGTTGTTCTGTTCAACTTCTAACTTTGGGGCCATTGGACTAAAACACATAAGAAAATTGGAACAAACAATAAAAACAACCATTTTAATTTGCTTGGTGGATCGGGAATGACCAAATTGGTGAACTTTTGGTCAAAGATATACACTTTAGCAAATACGTAGGGAGAGTACATTCATTTTATAGCAAATACGAAGCTCCCGTTACAATGCTAGTCAATATTTAAAACCGAATAAAAATAATTGTCACTTAGTACTACGGTCTAGTGATATTCCTCTTCACTCGTACGTAAGTGAGAGGTTTTAGGTTCAATTCTCGCCAAAGACGAATTTGAACCACATTATTGCTAGTTCACTGCGAGGCTAAGTCCACATCAACGAGCTTAATTATTATTTTTGTATTATTCTTTGTTCACTTATTAACTAACTAGTACTATAGTTCTAGTGGTTTTATTCCACTTGTAAGTGAGAGGGTCTTAAGTTTAAATCACATGGATGACGATATCATATAATATTTGTGTTGAGTTTGATGTCTAGCTATGAATGATCTATTATGTGGCTTAACCAATTCCCTATCCCCTGAGAGTAGAATATCGCCTCCCATTAGAATTGAATATCATTATGTCAAACAAAATAAAAAAACTTTGTTCACTTATTATGAAAACCAATCATATATGGTGGATTATGACATATTTGAGTAAATATGAAATTGCATCTTATTCGAAATTAGTGTTACTATCCTTAATTTAAACCATGTACGTGTCAAAATTAATTTAGCTACTCTCAAGAAAGTAAATATGAATGAACTAGTGGTTTTACTATTCTTTTAATTTTGCTATTCTTTGTTCACTTATTAACTAACTAGTTCTATAGTTCTAGTGGTTTTACTCCACTTGTAAGAGAGATGGTCTTAAGTTTGAATCGATGACGTATAATATCTGTGTTGAGTTTGAGGTCTAGCTATGAATGATCTATTATGTGGCTTAGCCAATTCTCTATCCCTTGAGAGTAGAATGTCACCTCTCATTAGAATTGAATATCATTGTATCAAACAAAATAAAAAAAAAACTTTGTTCACTTATTATGACATATTTGAGTAAATCTGAAATTACATCTTATTCGAAATTAGTGTTACTATCCTTAATTTAAACCATGTACGTATCAAAATTAGTTTCGCTGCTCTCAAGAAAATAAATATGAAATTACATTCGGCGGTTCTTTAAACCATTGTTGCACATCTTGAAAAATGACTTGAGCTACATAATTAAGAGAACTTTCAAACGACATTTGAATGTCCTTTGTTAGTGTTGCATTTGTAGAGTTTTTGCTGTTTAAGCCGTTAATTGAATGTTTACTGATATTTTGAATGTTCCTCATCTAAAGTAGGGCTAGTAATGAAAAAAAACCCTCTAAGTGGATCTCTCCCATCAGGGATCTTTAACATAACCCCAGAATCAACTTCAATACAAAGATTCAAAAAGAAATTAATTAATTTTTCCCTTCATACATTAATCGAGAGAGACGGAGAGAGAAATTGGAAAGAATAGAGGCAATTCAATTAATTGAAGAATGTCTTCACCAAAAAAAACAATTATTTCAAAGAACGTAGCATAGCGAGTTGAAATACATGAAATCAACACGATCTCCTTTCTTCACTTGAAAATTAATCCCATCACCATCTCATGAATATGGTCTCACTTTCCAATTTGCCGTTAAAAGAATGACTTATTCCCCGAGCTGAATAATTAATTACCGAAGATAAAACCCAAAGAACGACAAAAGGGAGGCCCCAGCCAATGATCCAACGACTGACAAGGTAGCGGAGGCGGCACCACTTGCTGGGCCAGGGGCAGCGTCCTTGGTGGCAGTTGGAGCTCTGGCGGCCGCTGCGTCCTTCGGGGCAGCAGCTGCCTTCGGTGCATGTTCCTTACCGGCTGCCAAGACCACACTGATCAAGGCAGCAATGACGATGATGGCAAGCGAGATCTTCTTCATTTCCATGATTGATTGAATGTGAACTTGAAGTGATAAAACTCTGAGTTCCTTAGAGATAAATATTGAAAAAAAAAAAACTCGTTCTTAATTGTTCTTTGCAAGTGCGAGGAATTGTGAAGAAATACAATTTTATAGGGTGGAGTGCTGGTTATTATTAGAACGAAACACTTCTTGTTAGTTAGTGTTAGTTAAGAATAGGTTTAGAATGAACACGTGTCTGGTTTTGCATGGCATGGGGATATAAAGTGTTATTATTTCTTTTTCTTACGAGTGGTATGAATATCCAAATCATTTTTTTTGGTTTTACACTTCAACCTTTTTTATTTTTTTTATTTTCTCCCTCTGGGTCTTTTAGTTTCTCATAATTTTTGGGGGTGTTCTACCACATGCTGCTATATGGATACAAGTATAAACAATTGTACGGATTTATAACATTTTAAATTGGTACGGATACAAGTATAAATGATTGTGCATGACACATTCCGATCCGGAATGTCCATTTAGACTTCGAATCGAGCTGTGCTGGCCGACACCTAGAAGGTGATAAAACCATTAAGTGTAGTAAGGTGGAAAATTGAATAAAGTGTAATGAGGTGGGAAATTGAATAAATTTAAACTTAAAAGTGCCTAAATGGAAGAGTGTGCATGTGAGCGGGATTGAACCCAATTCACAAGTGATGTCAGAACATAAGTAAAGTATAGTAAAGGTAGGATAAGAATTATACCAGGTAATCACGTATACCAAGATTTGGTAAGAATCCTTGTCAACATGAAAGCTCTGCTACTAAAACCTGGAGGGGCGAAAAACAAGGGTGAGTGGGTCTAAAAATAAAGTTTTGTAAAAACTTTTTTGAAAACGTAATAACCCCTCGCCGTAAAACAAGTATAGTTTCCACATATAACATATTACGTATAGTATAAAAATACTTACCGTATCCAGCAATATCTCAATAATGAAATATGTCACGACATTTCGTAAATAAACACATAATGTCCAGTAATCACATAATTTCTCATAAACAAACATATCATATCGAATGCTCATCGATGTATGCTGACACACGAGTTCATGCAAAGATCTTCTGACATGAACAAGATTTGGTGTAATGATGATTTACGCTATAGTATTACAATCACGTGAAGATTGGCGTTATGCACATTACATCCAAGTCCTAATTGCCTATAGCAATCTTGGACAGGACTGGCACCTACAATGGACCCAAAGTGAGCGTACGGTGCGATGTGAACATACACATGAATGACTAGCCCGGGCGAGTATTAACACCAGTGCAGTACAAGATGAGCAGATAACGTAAGTAAGATCATGCAACGGTAAATTGATAATTCTAGTCAATATAACACTATTCATGATAGCAAATATAATTAAGGCATCCCATAACAGTATGCATACTTGTGCATCTCGCAGGATTCAGAATAATTTCATAATTCTCAACATTATGACATTTCTTATAAACGTTAATTTAATTATGAAAATCATGTAGAAAATTCATTATTAAATATATAAGTGAAAACTACACAAATACACACACACACACACACACACACACACACACACTATATAAAAGAAAAGACCCACTCATAGATAGGCCTGGCAAACGGGTCGTGTCAGTCGTGTTCGTGTCGTTTTTGTGTAACACCTATTATCTTAACGGGTCGTGTCGTGTCATACCTGTTATCTTAACGGGTCCTTAACACGTCGGGTCAAGTGACCCGACCCGTTATGACCCGTTAAGAAAAATATAATTTTTTTCTTAAATTTGCACATATCACACATTGTCACATAAATATTACTTCAAAACATTAAAACACATTTGTCGCTTAAGTACTACATCTACACTCGAAAATAAGAGCCTCATAAAAAATCACTACTAATCTATTACAAATATTAAATGTGCAAGGATATGCAAAATGAAAGCGTTTTTGTTTTCAAGGTTGTGAAGCCTTTTTCAAAAGTTTAAACCTTGCCAATGGAACTCAAAGCTTAATGCAAGTGATCCACTAGTGTGTTTATTCGTACTTTTATTAAGTATAACATAAGATTTTGTGGTATCCACTAGTGTAAATATTTTAAATTGAAGATCGAATTCAATCATTGTATTCATATAGGGTCAAGGAGTGTAGTTGTAAAAAATCATCAAAATCGAAGTTAAAATAACTGTTAAATTGTGATTTTTCATTTATAATCGTTGAAAAGTTTTGTCCCGTTACTTAATCTTTAAATGTTTGTTTTTTGTAATTTTTGGCGTATGCGATCTCGAAGCATATACAAACAAGTATGATGGTTAGATCGTTGAAACTAGTTTCGTAGAATGCGTATCCCATCAAAACAATAGATTCACTAACACTTAAAAGTTTATTCTTACTTTCATTAAGTATAACATAAGATTTTGTGGTATCCACTAGTGTAAATATTTTAAATTGAAGATCGAATTCATTCATTGTATTCATATAGGGTCAAGGAGTGTAGCTGTAAAAAATCATCAAAATCGGAGTTAAAATAACCGTTAAATCATGATTTTTCGTTTATAACCGTCGAAAAGTTTTTTCTCGTTACTTGATCTCTGAATGTTTGTTTTTTGCAATTTTTGGCATATGAAATCTCGAAGTATATACAAATATGTTTGACGGTTGGATCGTTGAAACTAGTTTCGTAGAATGCGTATCCCATCAAAACAATAGATTTACTAACACTTACGAGTTTATTCATTCTT